ATTATGGGTCATGAAGCACCTTGGATAATCTCCAGAAATCAATTTAAAGGGTAATAAAATAATTGCTGATGTAATATTTTCTCTATAAATATTACAAAAACACAAAACAAGTATAAATAAGTATTTATATTTGTGTACAAACTGTTCATATTGTCAAAAGCCTGTGTTTTTAGGGTTATTAATGAAGTTCGTGTACTCAGACCAGTAATACTGTATGTGGGGTCACAAGTTTAAGCCATGGATATTTTGTGGGTCAGAAGATAAAAAGTTTGGGAAACACTTCTGTAGGCTATTTAGTGCACAAAATGTTCTCCAAAAGTAGCTGTAGCCCCAGAGCCCCCACCCTCCTTACTCCTAGTTTGTTTATAGAAGAAAGTTGATGGATGTAGGAGTTTCAGTGGCTGCACTCGYTGATTTTTGTTTCTTTTGTTGTTRTTCTTGTCATAGTTTTGTATTTATTTGGCAGTGAGCATGTGTAAGGCGGAGGCTTGTTTGCTTCGTCCTGCCTCCTGATGAGTGGGTGTGTGTGTGTGTGGCGTCTTTTCCTCTCATTCAGTGCGACGTTTTATTTAAGTTGAAAAATGGCGGCGGTGCATCTGAGGATCGGGGACCTAGTGTGGTGAGATGACCTTAAAAACTCTCTAACGCTCGTTTCTCCGTTCAAACTGCATAAAACTGTGTTGGATCCGTTTGCTTAACCAAGGCTTTGTTGTTTGTGTTAACCAGTCGTGATTATGGGTGTGCTTGTTATGTAGGCTAGTTCATGGTCGACCCAAACAAATTGCTAACCGAGCTGACTTMGCTAGCAGATGGTAGCTTCCTGTGTGGAAATAAACTAGTCTACTGTAATCGGTTCAAATTCTCKCCCATATTTGCTTTTTGGGTTTTAAAGTTGTCTTTTGTCGTTTACATTTTAGTGCTGGTGAATATTTGTAAAGCTTCTTCACATAAAATGTAACTCCTCATGTTGTAACAAATCGAGCAGTTAGCATCGTAGCTAGCGTGGATGGCTGTGCTCGGTTTCCGTGTTAAAACGATGGCGACCCCCTTATCAGGCATAAGTCGTAGTTTATTCGTTTCTTTAGATCTGTTCCGTTTTTAGTAGGATAACGATGTTTTAAGAAAGATTGAAAAACCACTGCGTAGTTCACACAAGGTTTCTAGTCGCAGTAGTGCAACCAGCACACAAGTAAACACAGGACTCGTAAACCTCTGACTTCCGTTAAGTTGGCAGATTCTAGTTTTTCGATACTTTCCATCCCAGCAGCAGAATACACCGGATCTGTTTTGTTTGTCCGTCAGAGTTTAAAGTTTGAGTTTAAAAACCTCTTAAGCTCTTGTTATCGAAATCTGAACTGGCCGAGTCTCAGGCTTATGAAAGAATCAGACTTTGACCAGACGTTTGTGTTATTCAGTGCTGCAGACACACACAAAATGTGTGTAATATCATCCAGGAGTCAGTGGCACAAAAGCTTCTCCAGTTAGATTTTTAAAATTATTGTTTTAAGACTTTAGGACAATAAATGGTCATGCCTTATCTTTTTAAAATAGTTATTTTTTTTATCCTTGAATGTAGCAAAATCAAGAAAATAAATTGTACTTTTGTGCAAAACTTTCCCTGTTGTGTAAATTTGCTTTGAAGTCTGCAGTTGAATACCGATTATCTCAACAGTTTTTAGACAGATTAGTCTTATTTTTTATACATTTCAACAAAAAGATGAAGCTGGTAAATTACAGTAAATCTATGGGAGTGGGGGAATATCATCTAAAATCCACTTTTTAGCCATTAAAAGCATTTTGTTGTGTACTTTGAGTCTCTAGGAGTGCAGAAAAGCTTAATCTCTCCCATTACTGTGTAGTTATCTTTAGATTCTGTTTGGATCGTAGTTTTCAACCCGTTTTTTTTTCTATGATGTTTCCTGAACTATTGCCTCAAATTATTTGCGATTTTAAAAAAAACAGCCAAATAAGGTCTGGTCTTACTAACTACAATTTATTGCCTTAATTCTACTCTTGAGTCTTGGGTCAGACTCTAGCTCCAACATGTAGGGATGGGTGGACAAATCTTTCGTCGTTGACATCTTTTAATTAATTTGTAAAGAAAATGTTTCTGTTCCACAAGATAGTCGTGAACCCCTCTATCGAACTGGAATGAACCAGTCTGGAAGCTGGAGGAGAGTGGGGTGTTAAGTGCCTTATTTGTATTTTAAGATGAGGGCCGTGCATGAAAATTGATATATTGATATTTTTAACAATAATATTGTCTTGATTTTCTTAAATGTAAATCAAAAAGACACACACACCTGTCAGAGGGCAAGACAACAACGTGTGATTCCTGTTCAGAGGAACAGAAAGCTGCAAATGAGATTGATGAGTGAAACAGCCAGCAGTATATCATAAATAATTAGGGCTGCCACAAACGATTAATTTTATAATCGATTAATCACCGATTTATTTTTTTTGATTAGTCGACA